CTCGTAATTTTTAACTCACAACTGGACGTATTTCTATCAAACGGAGCTATGTGCATTATGACGTGAGCCCTGTTATGCACGTATCCTTCAGGGTCTCAGGGCTCATGTCTTAATGCACATAGTTCCGTTTGATAGAAATACGTCCAACTGTAACTCCACGTCTGGATTTACCTCCAGAGTTGTGAATGCGAGAAAGTACTCGAGAGTTCGAGGCGATCAAATATCAGTTCCGAATGAATTTCCTTCAAAAGAGGAGGTATGCAATTTATTTGCATTCGCGTTACCCCGCTATCTCGCGGCAAAACAGGGGCCATTTGCCAGGCGAGAAACCTCTTGCTCGTATCATCTTGCGTTGACATTCTGATATTAAATGCATGTCGTAAGTGTACCCTATTTACCAAAGAGAACTTAACTCAAATTATAGAGGAGAATAGAGTTCATTCACTACCAATTTCACTTAAATATGCTTAATCGTCACCAAATGCGAGTTTCATTATTTTTTGCTGTAGTAAATGCGTTCTCGTCACGATGTAATAAGTAACATAACAATGATCCAGAACGAATTCTTAGTAGTAGTGAGGCGTGAATGATCGATTATCAATATTTTTCCATTTGAAGCTATGGTAAAGAATCGATTACTAAGATGTGTGCGTTCCAAACACCCTGTTTATCCATCCTTTTTCATAGCTTTAAATGGCAAATCGATAGATAAATTGCAAAGCATGCCACGTGATTTCTCAGATGTCTCAGGGTAACCTCCGTTTTAAGTCAATTAAAATAAAAATTTGGTCGATCAACCATGTCCTTTCGGTTTGATAAAATTGAGGTACCAATTGCGGAAAAGAAAGGTAACATTTTGTATAATTTATTAATAACAGACATGTTACATGTTTTCTAGATGTTTTATAGTAGTCATATCTTCATGTTTTTACCATCCTCTTTAAATTTCAACCGAAACTTACCTCAAGGATGCCTGTAAAACTCAGTTTGTTCAAAAATTGCATTTAACAGCTCCATGCCCTAGTTTTTATTAGTATTACTAAGACTCATATTCTCTATAAAATACTTGAAGCTCGGTTCTTAGGAATGAAAACTTCAGTTACCTGGACTGAAGATTTTAGTATCCTGTATGAACTGAAGTTGAGTTCTTCGAACTGAAGGTTCTTTCTCTGTCTGGTCTTAAGTGTTTTTTTGTTCGGGAAACAGCAAATTAAAGGAATTTCAATCGATCGTGCTGGAATCGGACATGCAAAGGGTTCTGTATAAAAGAACATTTGCGGTTAATGGCTTTCAGTGGCGAGGCGTGAATGATCGATTATCGAGAATTCCCCATTTGAAGTTGTAGTAAAGAATCGATTACTAAGGGGTTCGTTGCACATACCCTGTTTACCGATCCTTTCCCATCGGTTTCAATGGCAGATCGATCGACACATCGTAAAGCATGCCTCGCCACTGATGGCTTTAATTTTACCGTTTCTCAGACGGAGCAATTGCGGAAGTTGATTATAACTTATAGCTTACCTCTGGCTGCGCACCGCCCACGAAGCAATTTGAAAACACGCGAGCGAGAATTGGACTATAAATGCCAAAAAGAACTATGTCATTAAGATTTGTAGTTCCAGTTGATATGATTCATTTATTCATAGTACCCTATCATAAAATGTGGTCCAATTCTAAATCCTATTTGGCAACTATTTCTAAGCACGCGAGCAAGAATTTGACTATTACTACCAGAAAATACTATGTAACTAGGATTTGTAGTTCCTGCTGATATGATTAATTTATTCAAAGTTCCTTATCATGAAATGTAGTCCAATTCTGAACCTTATTGGACAATTGTTTGTAAACACGCGAGAGACAATTGGACTATTAATTCCAGAAAGAACTATGTAACAAGGATTTGTAGTTCCTGTTGATATGATTAATTTATTCAAAGTTCCTTATCATAAAATGTAGTCCAATTCTGAACCTTATTGGGCAACTATTTCTGGAGGAGCAATGACGAGCATGCACAAGAACACAGAGAGAACTATGTAATTAGGATGTGTATCTTTCCTGTTGATATGATTCATTTACTCATAGTTCCTTATCACAAAATGTAGTCTAATCCTGAACCCTATTCGTCAACTATTTCTGGAGGAACAATGACGAGCATGCACAAGAACACAGAGAGAACTATGTAATTAGGATGTGTATCTTTCCTGTTGATATGATTCATTTACTCATAGTTCCTTATCACAAAATGTAGTCTAATCCTGAACCCTATTCGTCAACTATTTCTGGAGGAACAATGACGAGCATGCACAAGAACAAAAAAAAACTATGTAATTAGGATTTGTATGGTTCCTGTTGATTTGATTAACAGATCCATAGTTCTTCATAACAGAATGTAGTCCAATCCTGAACCCTATTCGGCAACTATTTCTGGAGGAGCATTGACGAGCATGCATGCACAAGAACAACTGGACGACCCCGAGGAAAGAAACACCAACTCTTTCGTGAACATGAGCCCTGATCAGCGAGTCCTCTAATACTCGTCGCGGCTCATGGCAGAACGGAGTTGGCTCCTTTTCGACGGCGACGCCGAGTCCAGGTTAAAGCGTGTGTGGCGTCGCGACGCTCTGATCTGAATAGTGCGTTCTGACCTTACGGATCCGTGACGCAGCGTCGCAGGTGACGTGGAGGAGGAGGAGGAGAGGCCGGCCGGCGAAGTGTAAAAAGCGAAAATTCAACAACAATCACTTTTCGAGAACAATGAACTTGAGGCGTTTTGTTCGGGATCAACGAGGATCCGCCTGATGCCAACACGCGCCGTCGCCCCTGGCAACGGGGCTTTGTTTACGTCGATAGGCCAGGCCGCAAAGTCGAGGTCCCGCCATTCGCTTGGATCGGAAGTGATGTCTCGTAAGGAGAAATGACACATGCGTCATAATCATAGCCCTAGAACTCCATAATCATGGTCCTAGAACTCCATAATCATGGTCCTAGAGCTCCATAATAACAGCCCTAGAACTCAATAATCATAGCCCTAGAACTCCATAATCATAGCCCCAGAACTCCATAAAAATAGCCCTAGAACTTTTTAATAAAAGCCCTAGAACTCCATAAAAATAGCCCTAGAACTCAATAATAATAACCGTAGAACTCCATGAAAAAGCCCTAGAACTCCATAAAAATATCCCTAGAACTCCATAATAATAGCCGTAGAATTAAATCTTTTGTCTTAAGTCTAGAATTAAACATAATGTATGTATTTTAATTCCTATATGACAGGGTGAATAATGATTTTAAAAAAAATAATAATAATTATTTTGAACGGAGGGCTTGAAAAATTTCACCATTTATTTTAGGCTAAGAAAAGGTTTTCAGAATCATAGAGTCGCGCTTTTGTGTGTTTGTTCCCTATTCTGCAAAATTGAAGGCGAACTTCAGATAGAACTGACCAGCCAATAGTTACACAGACTGGTTTATCAAACCCAATAGAGCCTTGTGAATGAGTGTTCTTCAGAGAGAGATAACTATTCGCACTCTCCGGTATGTTTGTTGCCTATGTAGCGAATTTGAAGGCGAATCAAAAATGAATATCTGCTAGTAATTTTTTTGTATCTTTCAGAGGGAATTGCGAGAAAAAGATCTCAAGTCTCATAACTTCCGCATTATAGATGTCAGATATCAGTCTTTTAGGTGTTTGTCCTACGAAACGAGCTTTAAAATCAAGTTATCTAGTAAAAACAATACCAAAGATTCGCTTGGGTGGAATCTCCAAAAATAAAAACAACCCTTGTCAGATGTTACCAAATCATCGAATCTCATAAGTATTTTACTTATTTTCACCTTAGAATCCGGCCATAAAACTAGATTCATCAAAATCCAACAAGTCAAAAAGTGCAAATACCTTAGTTGCAAAGACTGTTAAAAAAACATTTAAGAAACTCTTAAATTTTAAATACATAATGTTTTTACAAATTTGTTAAAATGAGCGTGTTATGAAACCTTTTTTGGGGTATTTCTTAAATAATATTTACGTGAGGTAAAATTTAAATGAAAATGCTATTAAGTTTAAAAGATTGACTGTTGATTTTTAACATACTTGAAATGTTTGACAACATTTTTTTTAAAAAACTTAAAAAAATAGGTCAATTTTTTAAGATTTTTTTTTTTTTGAAAGTTTTATCTGACGTAAATTTTAATTAAAAATGACCGAAAATGATTTTCTGAGGATTAATGTTTAACTTTTTTCTCTGAAAGCTAACAGAAAGTGTTTCTTAAAGGCCATTGCTACTTAAGCATTAGTACCCTTTAGCTCGAGAACGGTAAGCTGGTTACACAGAGTTGATGTAACAGCTGAGAGTCCACAAACCGAATACCACGCTTAAATGGACCGCGTTTAGCAGAAAGGAACCAAGCCACATCAGCTATTACCAAATTTAATCAGGCAATTAACTTTTTTAAAATAGAACGTTTGTGCGGATTCCTCAGAAAATTTTACGGAATTTGCTTTGTACTATGCAGGAAATTCACTGAAGTTTGCACCAAAATTTGCACGGCCGTTTCTATGTAAAACATCGAATTGCTCGGTTAAATTTATCAATAGCTGATGTGGTTTAATTCTTTTCTGCATAACGCGATCCGAACATCCCAGCCGAATGCTGCCGTACTTAGGAAAAACGCCGTATGAACCTTCGTCAGTTGCCAAATTTACTTTGATTTAATTAAATTTAAAAAAAAACTCGGGAACATTTTCTATTCAATTTTTTAGAGACTTTACTTTGTAGTTAGATCTAAATTATCCGACAATTTCAGGAGAAAATATTTATAACTTTCCTCAAAAATACACTTAGTATACGCAGAAATTTGGCAACTCTCGGATGTACATACGGCGTTCTCTCTCAGCACGGCAGAATGATCCCTTTTACGACTTAAAACAACGATAAATTGATTCGTTGGCGCTCGACTCCCGGCTCGACCGCATGCCGCTTTTGTAGGCATTATTGATCAGATGGCTATCTTTTTTATTTTCTGGCAGAATTCGTGGCGAGAAAGGCCCATTGATAACGGGAGAAAAAAGTGGAAGTGAAAGAAGTGAGTTGGGATCCCGACACTTCCGTAATTCCACCTATCGCCAAAGCCGCACCGGTCGGAGCGGAGTAACGAGGAAAAAAAAGTGAAACAGTGATGAGCGAATATGACGATCAGTTGAAGCATGCTGTTCCAACCGCGCTCTCGCTCTACAAGTGCAGCCTCCCGGTGTGATGTGTCAAGTTCGCGTGAATAAGTGACGTATTTCAATCCCAGACTGTGCGTCATATGGACTGCATCCTGCAATACGGGTCTACAGTTCCTGGCTCAGTTCAGAAACAACGTATGTACCATTAGTTTCCTTAATGACATTAAGGTTGGAAAGGATGAGTCCCATTGAGGAGGGTATTTTGGCCCTAACTCAGGTCGAAAATTGAAACAGCTTAAAATAAGGACATGTATGGTGAAATCGAATCTTAATCATCTACCCTGTGAGAACTTGTCCTTGTTTGAGGTGTTTTTGAAAGGTTTTTGTTAATCTGTAGTACACCCATTACAAAATATTTAAAGGAAAAAGTGGTAGTCACTTGCCCTCGTCATAAACAATCTATTTTAGGACCGAAAATGAGCAATTATTCGAGAAAACTGCAAACTTCACTACTTTGCGCTGGTAAATCAGGCAAAAACCTTTCAAAAACACCTCAAATAAGGGCAAGTTCTCACAGGGTAGATGATCAAGAGTCGATTCGACCATACATACCATTATTCTAAGCTGTTTCAATGTTTTACCAAAGTTAGGGCCAAAATACCCTCCTTAATGGGACACATCCATTCTCAGGCAGTATGATACAATAGGCTGATTTAGTGACCACGTTGTCCGATATAATATAGAATCCTTGGTTAAAATGTAAACAAACTCAGAAACTTGTTTCTGATTCGCGCCCTTTGCGACATGCATGGTGGTAAAATGCGTCCAAGTGTTTCTCAAAATCGAAAGTTCTCGTATTTCATGAGTCTTTAATTGATTTATGACCGGTCAATGAAAATTTTTTATGAATTAATACAATGGAGAATTTCCATACACAAATTGTATTGCTTCATCTGAGAGTGCCTAATGAGCTGAGTTCGCAGTGTTTTTCATAACATTTCTGACATGAGCAATTGGAGAAAAATAGATTCAAAAGTGAGAAAATGTGCCGCCTTATTACGCCATCTGGCGGTATTTTCCGTTTAAACACATGTATTTTGGCAGATTAGGTTATTTTGTCATGTTTTCTCCAATAATTATTCAATTTAGAAACCAAGGACTCAAGGAAATCCTCGTACTCAGTTTTCCTACATGTATCATTTTAAAGATGAAAGTAACAAAATTCCAGACACCTCCAAATTCTCTATTATCACATGAGGTTATGTTAGTTTGTTTTGGTTTGAACGAAGAGTTAAATATTATATCAAATGACGCAGTTACTGAATCAGTCCATGAACCATTATAAAGGCCAAGAAGATGCGGGAGCCTCTGAAAGGTACACACGTTTCATCGAATCAAAATTTTTCGCAGAGTATACTCGGCTACATATCGTCGCCCTCTGATGTAAGGGCGTCTTTCTATTTCCAGATGAGCCCCAAAAAGGATGGTGTTATATGATTAACAAGGCTCACGTGGAAATCGATATACCTGCTTACGCCAGTGGGGCGACGATATGAAGCATTCGCCTTCAATTTTTCATGAACAACGCCTTCAATTTCTCATGATACCGCCCGACCAACGCTCGAGTTGAAATAGTTGTATCGTTGCGCCTACGAACATTTCACGTTTTCCCAGCCTCTCTCGCATTGTGAAAGTGCTTGCTGGTGCAATCTCTATTACTGCGGCTTAGGAAAAACGAGGAAATTTGTAAGTGTTAAAAATAGTGTACGATTTTAAGGTCAGATCTAGAAATTAATGCACTTTCTGACGTCCAGTTTAACGCAACAAATTTAAGCATTCTAACACATGATTTCACTTCAAAATTTCACGTAGAATTTTATTAATCCGCACTGAAAATAACTGATATGAGCTTCAAACCAAGACATAACAATATTTTTACTCAGCGCCAGTCACGAAAAAATTTGAATCACCCGCTAATAAGAAAAACAAGCAAAGTCTACCTACTTGAATCAAATTGAAAACCACGACGGTTTTGGCAAAATTTCAATAAACAGTGTTCCTTTCCCACCATGTGTCATTCGAAGTGTATGAACTGCATTTTGCAATTAGGAACCATAAATTCCGGTCCGGTTTAAAAACAATGTATGTGCCATTAGTTTCCCTATGCACATGAGTGTTTTTTCAGATGAGCCAGAATTTATAGTTTCAAATGGCAAAATGCAGTCAAAAAAACATGCTGAGTCGAAGCGTCGATCTTTGGGCTTTATATTTTTATACTGCAAAAACTGTGACTGTAACGTTTAGTGAGCGATTTAAATCAAGTAGATAATAGTTTTTTCTATGAGCGGGAAATTTGAATTTATCCATCGAGCACCGAAAATAAACATCTTGTTTAGGAGTTGCGTTCAGTGATATGTGTCGCGCGAATCATGTTCTACGTAAAATTTTGATAAGGAAATACATATTAGGATGCTTTTCTCCTTACCTCGTCCAGTGCTCTATTCCGTTTGTCATTACGAGTCTAACCTATCGTTCAAAATCGTCTGTCGTCATTGTGCCTAAGCGCTACTATCTACTTTCCGCGTGCTCATGAAAGAATGCAGCAATAAGTTTAAACTTTTTTTCTTTTTGCAGGAATGGTTGAACTTTAATTGCGCGTATAAAATGTAAACCAAATTAAATAATAAGTGAAACGGATTTCATCGATAGTACAACTGCGTCACACCACGGCTTATATCGCCCTCTTCTTGAACGTATTCGTTGTCGCCGCCATTATCTGACGAGGAGGAAGAGGATGAGCCAGACGGCGGCTGACTGTGGAAAACTTGTGTCAAACCATTAATTTTATGCACGTCATAACCAATTCCCATTGTTCGTTTTTTGAGCAGAAAATGACCCTGTAAAAATATAACAAGAACCCGAATAAAGCGCAATGAAGCATCTGCATACCCTCATGGAAATGTCATAAATGATTTTGAATAACGTGTAGAAATTAATTTTAAAAGGGAAAATCATAAAATTAATTAAAAATATAAACCACAAACGTATAAAATACACAGTTAAAACTAGTGATTTTCTAAAGTCTTTCTTAGACGCACATTTTACCAGACATAAAAATTACTTTAAAAAATGTCCAAGAAGGGTCTCCTGAAGCCAACTTTTAAGCAATGTTTTAAATAGTTAACGAAAAGTGATCTTTAATGGTCCTTAGTACCAAGGATCTTGAACCAAGATGAGGACTTTGACCTTGTGTGAACGAACACATAAGCGAAACGATGTTACTAATCTAATAAATGAAATATTACCTACCTCCATACCCCAGTCAGCTCCCCAGCTGTTTCGGATGATCCAAGCATCTAAAATAAAATATATGTTCATCCTTTAATCAACTAGACTATACCATGTCATCAAAAAGTAGAAATTATTTTGTAAGGTGTGAGGTTCCATTCTGAGCATGTTCTTATTTTCTATCATTATCTTAAAGCAATATTAAAAGTCATCGTTTAAAAGACGTCCCTTTTGCGGAACAATGGCCTGCTGCTGCTGAGATGAAGTGACCGATTTTAAAAATGGTTGTTACATAGACTGTCTTAAATGCATAATGAACGATTTCATTTCAGGTTGTTAAATTCAGTCGTCTCCTTCTGCTCTGAGCTTTAAGTTTTTTCTTTATTTCAATCTTTGGGTTAGTACACGGAAAAAGTACACGCAAATGGTGGAGGTGATGTGATATTAAATGACTCAAAAATTCTGGAGGGTGTTTTCTCATATATGTATCACCGCTAAAATGATAAAGAAAATATTTTTTTTAGAAAATGAGCTCAACAAAGGCTCGTTGAAAGGTAAATGCTTTTAGAAACAGTATCCGAATATCTTAAAATTGTCTCAGAACAGATGAACTCTAAGCTAATTTGGGACATTCTTAGTAATACTATTTACAAAATATGCATCGAAAGGAATACCTCGAAAGTGTCCGACAATTACTACAGCATGACCAGTTGGCTCAACAAATTCATATCTCTCTGGAGTCCAAACTCCCCGTACATAGAACTGAAACAAGAACATTTGGAAAATACCTGTGCATGAAAATATATTCGTGGTTATTGTCAAAATATGTCTAACTGTAACTGAAAGTTGCCGTGGTCTTGTTTTATTCAAGGATTTTTAATCAAAAGCCCTCTTGGAATTTTATTCGAATTTTCTTCACTCATTAATAAATATTCCCTAAGAATCTCTATTGGTGATGATAGGGAAGATTTCTCATCGAAGAGACCCATAGGTATAAAATCCTGATAATGAAAAATAACGACGTTTTTGGGAGGAAAATTTTCTAATCATAAGCAGGGTCTAGACCCCTGGACCCCCTCCCTCCACCCCCCGTGGAATGTCACAATAATTCTATATACTTTGCAGCAAATGAATGCTTATCGGCTGTTTCTGCATGAGAAATTTTGTTCGAAATTTTTTTTTAAAAAGTCTGGAGTGGAGTACGACGTTTTGCAGCTATGTATTTTGCAGCTAAGTAAGAGAGGAACCAAAATTGTGTGTTAACACGGGAAGTAGTGCACCGCGTAACCCAAATTCATAGTTCATATTTTATGGTTAATTTTTCTTTGAGTCATATCGATCAGTGGTGAGGCTTAATAATCGACAATCGAAACTATCCCATTTGAAGTGATGGTAAAGAATCAATTATAATGGTGTTCGTTGCAAACGCCCTAATAATCGATATTTTTTCATAGGTTTGAATTCCATATCAATCTATACATTGTACAGATCGCCACGCTATTGACATCGACCAAACCTGTAGGTTGAATATTTGCAACGCGACGCACAGTGGATCGAGTCAATCATAGAGTACCTTTATAGACAGAGTATGGCCATTCGTATCTTTTTACTACAGGAAAACTGTTCCGCTTTTTGATTGGTCAACGAGTTTTTAGGCTTCATGATGCTCTTAGGGCCGCATATAAACAAACAAGATGGCGGCTCACCGTAACATCGATAAGAAGCTAAATTTGACAAAAATTTCAATTATGCGGCAGTAACAATTTAAACTAGCATATCTACGAATAACACACGAAAAACAAATGAAAACATTATTAAATCGCCTTTCACCTTTATCACAGGAGGATGTAAGATGTGCATAACCTCAATCTTGCTTGCTGATAACAGCCATCTTGTTTGTTTATTTACGGCCCTAAGAGCATCGTGTCAGCCTATTTTCACGCGACCAATGAAAAACCGGAACAGAAATGGCCATACTCTGTCTATAAAGGTACTCTAGTCAATCAGAGAGGTCGGACATTAAGTTTTTAACTAAAACTTCACATTTTGATGTTTAATTTGTCACATTTTAAATTTTAATGGGACTTTCTAAAAGATCAATTCACGAGGAAACCAATAGAACCACTTTCAGAACCTCAAAATTTTATATATACGCAGTTATAAGTTTTTAAACTTTCCAAAATTTGTCCAACCTGTCCTTTGGACTCGATCCAAAATCAGGCGCGAGCCGCCAGGATAGAGCCCGGGCAGCATGATGGAGAGTCCTATGCGCCAGCCAATCGCAAGTTGCAAGCTTTGAGTGACAAAGAGAGAAAAAATAGTACATTAAATTCAGCAAGACACTTTCTTTATTCTCAGATACCTTAAAGTAACTTACGGATTCGGTCGCTTTAACTAAAAATTTGGTCGATCAATCAAGTCCTTTTGGTTCATCGGACCGAAAAAAAAGTAACTCAAAGTAATCCAAACCGTAAACACATAAATGGACGACACAACAATGTGCGAGTTGAAGCATTCTATCACACGTTCCATCGTCCAAATTTTACGAAGAACACGGTTCGCACAACGAAAATGACGAAAATTAACCGAGCACTTCTTTTTTCCAGTTTAAGTTCACACGTTTTTTCGGCAGGGGAGTTTTGGTCCTCTTACCAATTATTGAGACCCAAAGTTAATTGGTCAACATGTAAATACAAACAACATTTTCTCACGACGTTTTTAGGTGAAATGTAAAATGTCTTGGAAGAATGAGGGTTTGCTCGTTTTCTGTTTGTTTGGTTGGCCAAACGGAAACAAATATATAATTGAGAATTTTGGCGTCAATTCCACGAAGGAAAATTCACTAAAACCCTCTACACCTCTTAGGTGCAACAGGGCTTAATTATATTTCAAGAAAATCCCATCTTCTTATACCTGCACCGGATAAACCTTTTGACTTTCCTCAGCTGAAGGCTCTTAGATTTTTCCTGTGTACGATAACTTCGCGACAGCACCGGCGTGCAGCGGCGCGGCGCTTCAAACTACTATTTCGCCATGAAGGTGTGGCACAGTATCATACAAGATTGAAGGCACCCTAACGTATCATGATTGATGGCATCTTTCAAAAGCACGAAGTTCCCTCGCAAATTAAATCGAGTGACGACGAAAAAAAGAGAGCTGTAGTCGAAAAACTTGCTAAGTCCTAGTATCTGGATCCAGTAAAGTTTAGCATGATTTTTGAACTTAATTAGAGGAAAAAGTGACTTGATTCAAGCAAAAATATGCTCTTTACCGCCGAGAAGATTTCCTTATAAATCAATAAAGAAAATAATGCCTGTTTAGAGAAAAAAGGATCTTAGATCAATCAGAAACCCGCTTTCATTCGTCTATTTTATTCTTGATTCAAAATAAAATCTTCTTGACGGCATACTCAAGAGTGTTTCTGCCTAAATCAAGTCACATTTTTCTCTAATAAAATTCAAAAATTATGCTAGAGGGTCATTCCACGCCTAGGTAGTCCGGGGGGTATTTTTTTTTTCTCCTCCAAATGACCCAACGATATTTATTTTTGGACTCCTTAATACTCCTAGTTTTTGGAAATATATGTGGTTTACCTCCGTTTTGTTTTTTTTCTCGCAATTTTTACGTGTTTTGTAACCCCGTTGCTTAGCTTTATCCTACTGTAAAAAGAGTGACAGTTTGGTAGCAATGCTTTCTGGTGTTCCCGCCAAAACCAAGTTTCAGGTTATGCTTGCAGTTGTCAAGAAACTGATTCAATGTGCTCCTGCAAAGTTTCAATTTTTAAAAGTAATTACTGTATATTATATGTAACTTTTAAAACTTAAGGTACTGACTGTCACACCCGTTACGCAAAACATGGGTTTTTTAATGTAACTATTTTAATTCATGTCATTTTGAGATGCCAATTTTTTCCGTACGTTTTCAAGTCGAGTACAGCTTTGGAGTATTTTTTCCAAATTTTTATTTCAACAATTGATGGGCAAAAATGCGTAACAGGTGTGACACGTTACGGGTCTGACCAATGAGAAGAGCCTTCAATTATGCAGATGTTTGCCTCACTTTTCTCCATTTTTTCTATGGTTATCACAAGAAATACACTGATATGCATAATTAGAGGTTATGTGTACATTTAATAAGAGAGAGATATCCAACTTTTTTGCCATATTTCACTATTTAAAGTGAATACACCTTATCTCAAAAGGACTTCAAATAGAGCTCGTTGAACTCTCTCCGATTTGATTGAAATATTTTCACTTTACTATAGGCCCAGACCTACCGTGCCAGGGTTTTTTTTTTTTGTTAATTTGGGCCATGCGACGTCCAGGACTGCGGGGACGAAAAGGGAATCCTGGGTTACCCAAAGAAAAGCCCTGGGACGGTAGGTCTGGGCCACCCTGTAGAGAAATGTACTTTTGGCATGTTCTACATCAAAATGCGTCATATTGCAGATTGATTTACTGCTTAGGATTGTCTACAATAAGAGTATGAGAAGAAAAGTAAGTTTTTTAACTTTTAAACTCTCTCAGAAATGATGGACCTCACAGAGACAATCTGTCACACCCGTTACAATGGAATGACCCTAAACGTTATTAAACACGGATTCCAGGACTAAGTGAGTTTTTTAGATTACCGCTCTCTTTTTGTAACGTAGTCTCTTGATTTATTT